TGTTCATATCATACACAGCAACAAAGACCAATTGGATCGGGAAAATGCGGCTGGCGTGTGACACGTGTCCTGAGCGTGTCCTGAGCGTTGTACCTAACGAAGCCACCAATCAAAACCACTCTTGCAGCGGATACCCGTGAATTATTACGGAACCAGATGCCCAGGTGTCTGTAAACAATCCAAACCCGTTGACAAGTTATTACGTGAAGCGATCAATTGCATCACCAGCTTGTGGCCGAACTCGCCGTAGGTAAGGTGGCCCCGTAGATTCGTATTGGAACAACGCGTACAAGCCCTTCCCACGAGAATGTGACCAAGGATGGTGCTACCGACGAGTCTGGCCATGGTATGGCCGCCTGTTAGCAAAGATTCAATGCGCTGAGAGCAGCCAACGGAAGCTGCAGTGATACAGTGCGGCTAGATATTATGCGTTGTGTGCCACTTCTGCCGATTTGACAGTTCAGGAAAAACACAGCCACGTTCTGTAAATCAAGCGACAGTTGGGTCTCTAGAGCACTCACTTGGTATTTATTCACTTATCATATCGGGTTTGTGCCGCACTCTGGTCTCCAGATGTCGAATGTTTCTTACTTACCCTGTGTCGCTGCATTTGTAGGGTAGGCATTATTGACCAATCGAATCATTGTACTTTTTAATAAGCCACTAGTGTCTATTTCTTCACAGTAAGTATCTTACCGACGAACTTTTAGTTTTAATCCTCTTTTGTCGACAAACACAGGTAATTATATTACGTAGAACGTGAATGATACACATGATTGCTGTTGATTTGCTCCACGTACTGAACCGGCCTCTTGGTCATTTTGCTCTTGTGTTCTTCTTCGACATCAGGTGTATTGAAGGTGACCTGTGACATTTGTTTCGTCGCTGGAACCACGCGAACAATTATTAGTCAACAATCTTCTGGGGTCTCTGAACAAGAATATTGCAATGTATGTCCAATCAAAAGCGTTTACTACTTTGGTACTATTCAAATATATTTCTATACATCTGAATCGGAGATCTTCGGGGTTTCGCGTTTTGTGGATGTATTGGTATGCAGAAACTGAGTTCGAAAGTTGGTAATCCATCTTCCGCTATCCATCTTTTGCCGCCGCGTCACGGTTTTGTCCCCGCCAGAGTTGACTTCTCGTGGCCATAATCCAGGCACTCTCTTTTCGACGCTACTGAGGCAGTTTGTCTGACTTCCAGCATGGTTCTTGGTTGACGAAGGCCAAGTGCAGTGCTTGGATGGGGTCTCGTCGATAAATACAAAAGAAAGGTACGAAGTGTCACCCAATATTTCCTGGTCAGCCGTTCGATATGTCCAAAGTAACAGCAGGAGGTAGGTATCCCAGCCGATGTGCCCTGCGTTGACATACATCTTCAGCATAGTGGCCAAGGTAGAGTTGAACCACTCCATAAGCCCTTGGCCCTGTGGGTGCCTGGGGCAACTGGCCACTTTGTCAATCCCTACCGTTTGGTAAAGTGTCTCGGCTAGTTTCGACAATTTCGATCCTCGGTCAGGAACCCCATATCGGCACAACACTTCGTCGATGAGTACGGTCAAAAAGGTCGAAGTCTTGAGGTCCGGTACTGCGATTGCCCCCGCCCACCGAGTAAAGTAGTCCATGAATACTACTCCAGTAGGATATACTTGTTGCCATGCTGAGTTGTGGGGAGTGGGCCCAATATGTCGACCACCACGAAGCTGAAAGGGCCGCGGAGTTCATAGACTGGCATGCGTTGGATGACCTCTTGTTTCCAGGGTCGGGTACCTTTGGCTGCGCCACATCGGACACAGCAACGGCAGTACTCGGCTGTGTCATTCCACCATCTGTGCCAGTAGGCGATTTGACGGACTCGTTCCAGTGTTCTCTCGCGGACAAAGTGTGGCTAGAGGAGAGTCGTTGCAGAGGGCCAACACATCCGAGGTCTTTGAGATCGGAGTCACTGGGACCAAATTCAACTGGGGGTTCCTCAGGGGGGACTTCAAAATGACTCTCCGATAGAACACGCTATCTCGGAACGTGTAGTGTTCTTGCGTTCGAACCATGAGTTTCATCAGCCAGGAATCCAGTGGGAGTGCCTTCGTTTCCAGGCTTTCATGACCACGATAAAGTCGTCTCGACTTTGTTCTTTTCGGAGTATCAAGTCCGGCAAGGAGTACGTGTTGTCTCGGTAAGGAGGCAGTTGTGCCGGTACCTTCGACACATCCTCTGCTCTGGCGGATTTTTTCGCGTGGATTTCGTTTTCCTTGCTTCTGTCGGGTGGGACTGCTTCGGTCTCGGGGGCCTCTTCGAAGGCAGTGGCGCGTCCTGCTATTCTGTTGGTGTGGCTTTCTTCGGGGCTGCTCTTATCACCTCGGTACTTGTCTCGGCGGCATTATCGTGTAATCTTTTCGCTACGTTAGCGACGTTGTCTTTGTCTTGGCTTGCTCCGACTTCGTCATAGGTGCCTTCTCGTCTTCCAATCTTGGTCCTGAGTGGTTGCACACACACCTCAGGATCCTTCTCGGACATTGTTGTTCTTTCACTTCTGCCCATTTCGGGTCATTTCGGGTATTTTACCACGTTGGCACGTCGCCTCCGCCGATTGCAGTCTGTCAAATGTCTATCCTCCGCACGTTGCGGGTATGCTACCAATTTGGCACGTTTCCTCCGCTGAGCGCGGGAACTTCCTTGTTACTTCTTCGCATGTTGCAGATGTGTCTTGCTCTAGGGTCGGCCTCGTCAGGCTTCTTCTCCTTCTCGTCACAAACCGGCCCTCTCGGGCTGCCTTCTAGGATCTCAGTTTGGTCCTGCTTTACCTCCCTGTCAGTGGTCTTCGTCCAACAAACTTCCCTTGTGCTCCCCGGTTCTCGCAGGTGGATCGGGGAATGTACGCTTATGTGCGTGTTTCGCTTTCTTTGATAAGGCGCCTCCCTCGGGCCTTCGACAGGGAGCTCTCATCGGAAATTTTACCCATGGTGGTCGACCTAGTTTCTTCAGAGTGGGTGAAACTCGGTTGTGAATTGACTCGACTGCGTAATCTGTCCCCCCAACTCGTTGGATCCTGGGTCAGATTCAGATTCGGTCAGCTGAGTGTCTTCGTCGTCGGATGTTATTTCGTTCGGTTCGATCAGGTACACGCCACGTCCGGCGGCTTGGTCCTGATCCCTGCGTCCTCATTGTTGATCCTCGTTCAACTCGTCCATCGCTGGTGAGGTGTCCTGAGAACCGGAGGCAACCACAGCCTGGATGGCCGCCACAGTTTGCAGGGTAGTTAACGAGGTCCGACCCTCCAGTTCGTTCGTGCTGAGGTACCGTGCATTCCGAGGGTGATGACCCTTGGTTCTACACACTCGGTAAAACCACGAAATTAGTATGCATTTCTCACAGGGGTGGCCCATCAGCTGACAGTGCCCGCACACCACCGTACCACACTTAATGTTTACACCCGGTTGCTCCGACTGAATCTGAGCCACGACATCGTGGAATGTAGAGAACCGATCGTTTTGTAGCGTCTCTTGCTGGGCCGCCATCGTGGACATATCATTTGTGACAAAGTAGCGTGTAGTACTTGGATGTCACCGACCGGGGCCGCCGAGGTTCGTGGTGTCCCTCGGTTCGACCTTATGGGAGTGCTCGGAGCCGTAATACCGCCATTTGCTGAATGCACTGTTGACCGTGATCCATCGAGTCGACGGTCTAGATCCACATTGCGGTACCGAAAGTATTCAAGGCTATCCTCTCGATCGACTCGGGGCGTGATGCAGCCCCTCGGAGGCAATTTGAGACTTGGGAGTCATCACATCCGTTCTTGCAGCCGTTGAACTTGAGGTCCGTAACCGACTTGTCTTTGGCCGTGGCGTCGGCCATGGTCACAGAGTAATAGGACGTGGGGGAACTTGGGGGGTGCGTCGGTACTTGAAGTAGTGTGTGTAGGATCAAAACAAGGTAGCTGCAATGACCCGTTTTCAAAGCGCCGAATCGCGCTGTTCGACTTCAACCACGACCACAATTCCATCACGAACGATGAGGTGGTCGCGTGGTTCAAGTCAGCGTTTGAGGAATACCCTCAAGACCTGGACGTTTTGAAGCAACGTCTGCAGCGAGCGATTCATTTCGATATGAAGATCTTGGACGCGGAGTCTCGCGTCGGTCGTATGTTGGACGAGCTGATGCGCTCGTTGGAACAAGACCACCAGGGATGGGTACTCCACCAAGAAGGCAAGATGGTTGTCGAAGTTGTGAAGAAATCGATCTAGCCGGAATCGCTGAAGACAGCGGTTCAAAAGCAGCTGCAGTTGCAGCGGAACAAGACGTTGAAGAGCGACATCTTTCGTTATGTCAACTGGCTACGAACATTTGCAGCTGGCCACCAGCTGTACGTTGGACTCGACGACGAATCCAAACCTTCCCCGACAGCGAAGACGGTAGAAGCTCCACGGGGCTGTAGGCCCCAATTCCCAAGACGTGAAGGCGGCCGGGAAGACGCCGCCAAGAACAATGGCAGAGTCGGCGGAAAGTCCGAAACGATCGTGCCCAAGAATGCCGAGCCCTCTGCCAAGAAGGGCTGCTTGAAGTGCGGTGAGAATGAGTCACCGTGTAGCGCGGTGCCCGAAGACCGCGCCTGGCGAAGCCGAAACGTTGTTGGCAGCGCAAGTGAAGGGCTGGAAGGCCGACATCAAGGTGTCAACCAGCCGCAGCGTCAAAAGACAGAGCGCGGCGTGATGTTGGAGAATATCGTCCACGTGGACGATGTGCTACTGGACTCTGGTTCGGACGTGATCGTTGTCACGGGCGGCGTCATGGATGCGTTGGACGCAGCCGGTGTCGAAGTCGGGATTGTCTCCCATAGCGTGCCGCATTTGGCGTACCCGTATGGCAGTGACGTCAAGCCAGTTGTAATGACGCGCAGCGTCAAGTTCAACTGCGTGACGCTGGACACGACGTGTGGACGCTGGTGTTGCGCGGTCTGAAGGCTTGGGTCGACGACACATCGTCCTCGACTGACCTCATCGTGAGTCGCCCAGTCATGGAGTTACTGGACTTCAGCGTTGAAGACCTCCTTGTTGAAGCAACGAAAAAGTAGGAAGAATGGGACGTTTCGTCCGTGCCGACGAATGAATTGTCCGGTATGGCGAATGTCAAGCGCCTGATGGTGGAGAAGTTGAATCCGCCGGAGCTTAACCCCGACGACAGGATGGAGTGTGCTACTCCGGAGGTTTATCCCAAAATCACCGCCCGAGGACGAAGCGGAGCGCCGTTCAAGCCATTCTGACGGCAGCCTAGGCGGAGACGCGCGGGCACGCGCCCGCTGAAGAGACGCAGCTGCACGACTTACTGGTCAAACACATTGATCTGTTCCGTGAAGACTTGGGCGATGATCCGCCTGTCAAGGTCGAGTCATTGAAGCTTCGGATTAAACCCAGCTCGAGGCCGGTGAAGTGTGGGAAGCGGCGGTACCCGCCGCTGCGTGTGGAGTACATGCGCAGCCATGTGGCTGCCCTGGAAGCGGAATGGTATGGTATACCAAACAAGCCGGGCTACTTGGGCCGCAGCCCCAAGAATCGTGCCGAAGAAGGAAGTCGGCGATTTGCACATGAGGATCGACAGCAGGCCGATCAATGCCTGCATGAAGCCGATGCCAAACCTGGTCAGCGCGATGGTCTGTCTGGTCGGGACGAACGTTGGACTGGACCAAGGGGTACTGGCAGTTGCCGCTACATGCGGACAGCCAGGTGTACTCATGGGACAGACAGACGCTTTCGCGTACTGCCAGCCGGTTGTCCACCAAATGTTTGGTGAACTGCGGTTCCGAGGCCTCCTGGCCTGGCTTGATGACTTGCTGGGGCCCGCCAAGATTCCAGATGAGCTGTTCGACTTGTTGGACCAAATCTTGACCATTTACGCCCAGTTCGGACTCAAGTTAAGCCCGAAGTAGTGTCATTTCTTTCTCCGCGAGGCATAATGGTATGGCAAGGTGGTTTCGTCCATTAGAATCACCCATTCCCCAAGCCGGTTTCAAGGACTGGTGGATTTGTCGACGCCGACGACCTCAGCCGACTCCAGCAGTTTGTGTATGCCACCAACTGCATGCGCGCGAGCATCCCTCGTTACAACTAGTAGTGGCTTTGTGCAGCTGTTCACGACAGAGTCCGCTGATACCGCCGCTACCGCTCAGTGCCTGATGACGTGGTTTACCACGTTCGGCTGTGTTGATACAGATAACGGTTCTCACTTCAAGAACGAAATGCTCAAAAAGGTGTGGAAATTGGTGGGTGCCCACCATCCCGTCACGACAGCCAACAGTCCATGGACGAACTGGACTGTAGAAGTAGTCAACTGACTAGTGTTGTGCACTGAGAAGGCGCTGTAATGGAAATGAAACTGAACGCGGACGATGAAGAATCGTCCTGGCAACCTGCGGCGAATTTATTTGATGGTATTCCAACGGATTTCACATGTGGGCAGCGAACAACACGGAGGACCCTGCCATGTCCGCCCTAATAAAGACACTGGACTTTTCGTAGGATGGGAAGTCTTCTACAGCATGCAGGGCAATTGGGTCACGTGTTAGTTTGACCCATTGCAAACACACACACTCTGTGTGTGTGCTGCGTCAAAGGTTCCTATACCTTACTAGTAATGCAGGTACTGAGTACTTTAGTGAATGATACTGAGTAAGTGCCTCATGGCGTGTTTAACCTCACTAATGTCAGTGTTATATGAGCTATGTTGACGAAGGCCCCGTTGCCGAAAGAGCGTTATCCTTATCGGAGGTGGAGGTGCGTTCCCCTAGCGATGCGCTAAACCGAAGGAACCCCGGCAAATAAAGACCACACTTGGACTTAACTTATGTAGGCTCCAGAGCACTAGCGTTCCAAGGTGTCGAGGCTCTTGATGGAATACGTTGATGTGTACACATTTGTTTCGAGTTGCTATTTCATGCGCGAAGCGCAAATCCTAATTCCTGCCACACACTGCGCAGCGACGTGTTTCTAATTTGTACTTTGACGACGTTGGATCGTCTTATCTTGACGCTGAGGCTGGTCAAACGCGCATGCGGGATTGCAATGTTCTCAAATAGCCAACGCTGGGGAATTGCCAAAAAAATCGACGACTAGCCTAACTATATCCCTAACGTTATAAATTACTCGGAGTAGTTAATGTTCGTAGTGATCATGGATCATGTATTTGGCCATAGTTGCTTCAGTTTCATTGCGGCAAGTACCTTGACGTGTTGACGTAAGTTGTTTGCCTGCCAGAATGAAAACAGCAAACAACTTGTTTTACAAAAGTGCCTGTAAAACGGAATTGCCAAAAAAGGTGCAAACAAAAAAAAACAAAGTTGCAATAAAAATAAGTATTAATAGTAGTAATAGATAACAAAAGTTGCGAGGATTGACATAGCCATCATCTTTGGCTGGTTGCGGTGTGAAACCCAACCAAGTGTCACATGACATTCGACTCATGAGGTCCTTCGGAGGGATAGGGTGGTACGATGGAGCTGAAAATACAGCCCAAACTGCATGCTGAATGTTGGAAGGGCAAACTTGGATTGTTTCCGTGCGTTTTTGAGGTTTTACGCTAAAAAAAAGGGTTACTATGAGTTCCCCGTAGGTTTCGGTGGAATTTTTGGTTCACAATCGTTCTAAGTTCTATTTCCAACATCGACACAATCCTCCTATCTCGTACATTAAGTAGTACATACTACAGTACTACCTCCGGCCGGAAATAAACCAGCCTTTCATTCTTGGAGGTTTTTTCAGAATTTACCGGAATAAATTATGTTATAGAGACCGAAAACATGTATCCGGATATCTGTCACGATTTGATACTGATTATATTATACACCTGCAGTAATTTATATTCTGTACAAAACATAGTTTTAAAATGTTGCTGACTATTGGTTGGTGCAGGTAGAATGCATGTAAGCCACCAACACTCATAGCGTAGAACCCACTTATCCATTAGGGTATTCATGTTTAAGGTATTATATTCCACAGGGATACTGGCCATACTAAGACGTATACAACAAGCATACTTAGGGCAAAATCAGATAACACCATCAAACAAAACACCAATTTTACCAATTTTCACCAAATGGCTGGTTTATTTCCGGCCGGAGGTAGTAGTATATAACACAAGCTGTGTCTTAAGTTACAAAAAAAGGATTCGACCAACCAGTGGCTTCTAGATATACTACTACTAGTACTTCCTACAGAGTACTAGTAGTACGTTCAAAGCCTTGGGAAGTCGCTTGCTGTTGAATGAACTTCAACGACACCTTGTTCGCACATGAATACTTGTCCAACTGAGTCCACAGCGCCGAGAACACGGTCTCGTCAAACGGCATCACTCGAGGTCCTAGCATCCCCTCCGCATTTTAATATATATATAATCCATGAATAATGTATATATATATATATATATATATATTACCACCTGCGACCATCTGCGCCACAATCGACACAACTTTGTCCATTTCGCGGTTGGAACTCACGGCTTGGATCACTTGCACTAGCCCCGCCGACGACATTGCAAATCCTTCGCACTCCATTTGCATCACGACGTTGCATACCCGTTCCAGCACGCCTACAATATCGCATTTTCAATGTATTTTAAATACATTTGAAATGAAATGAGTACAGTTTTGAATTTTCAATGTATTTTAAATACACAATTAAAATAATAAAGAAACCATATCCTGTTGGAACCATTTGAAACGCATTCGAAATAAAATGGAAAGGGAGTTATTGTTCTAGGAAACAAACTTTTGAAAAATGCTGCACTTGAAATACAGTATTGAAAACGAGCTATTGTGCTTTCGAGTGAAATGTCGTGTTGTGGCGTGGTTTCTCGTTGGAATTTAAATCGATTTGATTGGCTACTTCAGAAGAGCTAAAATTATTAGCCAATCAAAACCTTCTCAATGAAATTTAACCAATCAGATCGATTGTGGATCGGTTTGGTCGGCGCGATTCGATTGCACCCCCGCCCCAAATTTGTATCAAATCGACAATATTGTATGCAACATTTTCAATGAATTTTAAGACCTTTGAAATTCAAAAACATAAATATATGTATAATGTTTTTTTAAATCCTTTTCTACAGTTTTTTTTCTATATAATAGCATTGAAAACGAGATCGTACCATTTGACATGCATTTGAAATACAATTCAAATACGATATCGATAGTTGGAACTACAAACTAGTATATGCTTCAAACTAGTGTTTTTCCAACGCATATCGACTCTGAATCGTTAGATTCATCCACTATTCTCGAGTATATATATATATATATATATATATTGTATTTTCGAGTGAAATGTCATTGTGTTGTGGTGTGGTTCTCGTTGGATTGTAAATCGATTTGATTGGCTACCTCCGATGAGCTCAAAATTATTAGCCAATCAAAACCTTCTCAATGAAATTCAACAACCAATCAGATTTCGATTGTGGTTTGGTCGGCGCGATTCGATTGCACCCCGTCCCCAAATTTGTATCAAATCGACAATTTATATTTGGCGTACCTTTGGTCAAGCCCACTTGAATCAACGCCAAGTACAGCGCTACAACACCACGTGTGAGACCGATGAAATCTCTCCGTCCAATATGCAAGTAATAAAGGCAAGAACGACTTGGTATCACCTTCAAAATGCCGAATCGACGTCACCGACGCCACCAGCTCAAAGCATCCGTCCATGCCCGCTTGGTGGGCCACCATCGTCAAGAGCGCGCTGAAGAAGTACAAGTCTGGCTCAATATGGGGTTCATCCACCACCATCGACCGGATCAGGTGCAGCAGCTTGGGAATGTCATGGTTTTGCACGAGCAGCAACGCGTACACGGTGGCAAACTTGAGATCCATACGAATGTTCTGGGCATCCATCATCTCAACCACCATGTGACCATAAGACGACGGCGCGTTCGCTTGCAAGTGTGCTTCCATCATGACGGTATAAGCCATCAACCCTGGCCATCGGTTGCGTCTAGTATATTGTTTTCACGCATAGTAGAATTACAAAAAGAAGAGATCACGGGATATCGAAAGATATATATATCACAACGCCAATAAGTGTGTGTGAGAGAGAGAGCGTGGAAGCCCAAGATATCAAGGGGATGTCAAATAGTAATTATTATGACAGAGTATTATTCCCTTTTTCACAACATACGTGAGAAAAAGATGATTCACAATTGCAAAAATGGAATGTCCTCTGGATGCCCAAGATGGATACTATAGAGAAACTATATAGCTGGATATATACACATATTTATATATATTCTCATGTGCACGTAATAATCGCAGTTGAAATTGTTGTTTTCTGTCACAACCGAGTAAATCACATTCGACGCATGCTGTCAATATTTTAGACAAATATATATCAGCTTTCATATTAACCAAACACAGTCAAAATATTTTTTAAAAAAGCGATGATAGTTCTGAAATGTTGCCAAAAACAACAATGTGTGTTTTCTAATAGATATGGGTAAAAAGGGTTTGAAATGTACGTACTCGGAATACGCGTGGAGGAGTGCATACTGGTCGTCTATACTCGAGTGTTTGGCAATGCGCATCGAGTCAAACAAGCTAAACTCGTCCGGGTCGAACGGCAATCTAATGGGACAAATCCCCATGACATCGACCCACCAACGGGGATATTTCCTCGTACAGTACCGGTCCGTCATAAACCACTCGATGAGTTCCAACCCCGTGTCGGACAATTCCCCCATCGACGCTTGGGCACAACAGTACAAGGCATTCCGGTACACTGCTGTATTCCATTCTGACGGCGGCAACGTCATCAGCAGCTCGAGGACGTCGCGCACCATCCCGTGCTTCTTTCGCTGGCTCGCGACAAACAACGCAGATTGCAGCACGGCCATAGGGGGGGGTCTATGGCTTATACGTTTCGCCTTTCTGGCTTCTTTGGGGTACAATTCCGAGTAGAAAAACGAGGCGAAATCGTGGTTGGTGCGGTCCATCGCATGTAACATCGCGGTCGCGGCGGCCGCGGACGGCGCGCCCACGTCGGCCATCTAACAACACGAATGTATTGAAACTACTCTATCCATGCGAGAAATCCACTTGACAATTGCAAAGGTATATATATATATATAGTCGAACCTATACTGTCTAATGTACTGTAGTATATCAACACAACCTCTATTTCAAAATAGTTTCCAAGATCGAAATGATATTTTCTGGTCATATATATACATATTTTAAAGTAATTAAAATAATGTACGCCAAAACCTGAAGAATAAATTCGATTTATATCATAATATTATTTATTGTATAGATTACAAAAAGGTGGAAAAGGGTGGGTGTTTGTGTAAAAGTATCTATGAAAAACTCCTAAATTCAAACTAAAAATCAAAATTCCATACAGGTCATAGAACTTGTAAACTCAATTCCCAGTTAGCTGCAAACAATTGCAAAGTCCATACAATATGTCAACGATATACAACAAAAGGTTTATCACATATAATAGACCTAAAACCAGATTTCAACGATATACAACAAAAGGTTTATGACATATAATAGACCTAAAACCAGATTCCAAACAATTAGAACCTGCTTTCTTTCTCTCCATATATTGTGTGTTCGACTCAAAATTTCCTCCGGCGGTTGGCATTGAATCAACCGTCGAACAATCACCGAACCTTCGAAACTTCATATAAAACTGAGTTGAAGAGGTATCTTTGAGACTGCAATGCATGAATCCATATTTTTAGCCAATCATATTTCAATCTTCATTCTTTATATCCAATCATACTCGTTTCCCCCAAAATAGGCAAATTTGACTGAAAAGCACAATACAACTCACAGTATCAGTGATGCATAACAAAAGTGTTTAGTGAATATCCTGACAGAACTCCAATCAATCGTTTAGTGTCAATGAGTTAGAGCATGCTTTTTCTCCATACAATGCGACACACCAAAACTGTATTAAGTGTTTGTATGACGAACATGTACTCTTGATTAAGATTACGTACATAATTGCAACTTTAATCACGTTTACGACATCCTAATAAATAGCACATAGTTCAAAGTCTATGTATAATGTCAACCAATTTGAAATGTACATGGATTTATTTGTCCATACAAGGCAACCAAAAGTAGTAAAATATGTTGTACCATGTCGTGCCAGACGTCTGTGGCAGTTGCCACGTCATCAAAGTGACAGCAGGTGGATATGGCCAAGTCGAATCGCTTGACCAGATCATCGTCCTTCGTCGACGACGACGCCGAGGGAGGATGGAGCTGCCGCCACAGAGCTAACACCCACGGAACATCCCGGCTAACTGGCTTGCGGTACTTTCTGGCCAATGTAAACCACGTCGCAAATACAACCTCATCAATGACTTCCTCGGTGGATTGAGCTTCTTGGTAGTGATCAGGAATCGCGGGTAGACAGCGTAGCCAGTCCACAGTGTGGTCAAACGTGTCTCGGTCGTGCATTAAGCTCAGCACAATCGTTTGCCACTACAATAGAGTACCATATATATATATATATATTTCTTCTTGTGATTATCACGCAAATTTGAAAAATGAGGTGGGAAACACATATCGAGAAAACCACTATGATTTACTAAACTAAGAATGAAGGTCGCTTTGTGAGCGTTGGTTAAACAGAATGAATGGTCGAAAAGACACTTGTGAAACGTAGTGTGGTATAATATTTCGCAGGTCCGGCGATGATTAGGGTCAATCAACCACCCGCTAGAAGAATCTTTTGAATACACAAAAACCGATTTAAACGCAAGAAAAAGTCGAAACTGGAGTATATGATGGGAATGTCTAATAGATTTATAGCCCATCAGCATGTCTTAAGGCGTCAATAAAATTGGCGCATTACCCAAAGATTAGAGTGTGATTGATTGGCAATAAATAATGTCATGATATATACAAATGTCGACTGGCAACAACCAAATCATTCATGGTATACAAACATGAGGATTAAAGAAATGATCCATCGAGAGTCAATCTCATCCACAAATATTGGCCCCACGGACATAAAAAAACATCTATATGGTTCTTAAGTTATAAACTTGGCAGGGTGATTCGAGAATCGCTTTGGGGCATATTCTAAGCGTATTCAATGGATGGTATATATATACCCATTTCAAGACCGTTTTTGCCTATCTGTTGGGCAAAACACAAATCGACTACTCGATGATTCTTGGATATGTCATTCATGCACTTTGATTGGCTAGGATTACACACACGCATATATATTCTCCATTCAATATTCTCCTAAAGATATTGTCCACATATTGGCACGGATTTGACAATACCATGGCATGTGGGAATGCAACGACGGCAGGATATTGGGATAGCACTGCATCTCGCACGGCCGCAGCGGTGGTCACGTCTCCGCTTTTGATCAAATCCACAATGGCAATGTAGGCAACGTGGATAACGTCATCATTCTCGTCAGTCGTGGATGGTGACGTGATCGCAATTCGAGGGACGGTGTGGCCGACGGTTGTGATCACGTCACGATGTTTCAATATGGACAACTTGTCTGGATTCACGCGCAACAACGTCACCAAACTGCCTCGGTTGGGAATTACGCCTGATTGGAGCATGGTTTGTCCCAACGACTGCGCCAAGGGATAGTCTATCGATTCAGTATATATATAACTATCATTTCTACGAGGATATTCATTGGCGTCACTCGAACGTTCGATATATATATATATATATATATATACATGTAAAAAGCTATCGAGGTGTAGTATGCATCGTTCGATCGATGCAGTATATATATATATATATATATCATGTATACTACTGTCGTGGTCGTTGATCTGCACCATGAAATATAAAAAACGCGAATATAAATATATAAAATATTCGATACAATCTCGAATCAATCATACAGTTGTTCAAATAACTCATTGCATGTTGGGCAAAGGCACGACAATATACATATATTAATTTGAGTCACTGGAACGATTTGCATATAATAATCTATGGAGACAGTACAAATCCATCATACAATATATTTTGGGTCACTGGAACGACAATATGTGTACACAAACGTACCCATCAGTGGGTCCGTGGACGGTCCAGTGACCAGACCCCGGAGCGCCACATTGCACATGCCAACATCGAGTTTGTCCAATTTGTCACTCGAGTGAACGATATCTCGAACGATTTGACGAAGAAATGAACGGTCATGAGTGGCTGCGTTGATGGCCATGGCCAGACATGGTGCGCTCTGGTGATGCCACGTCACGATCAAAAATCCTCCAATCAAATCAAGCACAAATTCGACCTACCAAACTCGCCACACCGCCAGCGTCCACAGCGTCGGCGTACACTTGCTGGAACGTCTCCATGTTGGCATGGGGTTGGCCTGGTCGCAGGAATTGCATCATGTGCCCAATGGAAATTGCACTCAACGGCACCTGGTGGCGGCGAAACCAGGCGTAGCCTACACCCAAAGCCATGACGTGGCACGCTCTCGTGATAGTGCGTGTAATGGTTATTCCAAACTGGAGCGACATGTTGAATGTATGTATTGACAGTACAAGAAGATCGGCAGAAGCATGTAGCAATCCGTCGGTTCAACCCATCAACAACGAATTTTAGTGTGTGACTTCGATTAGTGTGTGATGGGTACAATATGCCAGACACGTTTTTATATAGTGTCGATTAAATCGACCGAATTGGCAGACCATCGACGATCGACCAATCAAAACCCAGAACATGAATCAAGTAGCCAATCAAATGATCATCCACTCTTCGACCAATGCAACACGTACGTGACTGAAATTAGTGTAACACTGGACAATCTTTGCAAAAGTCAGTCCAAAAACGAATCGATCGATAGAGTTATTGGCGAATCAGCCCAAAACTCCAAATTTTGGGTAAAAAAAGGACGAATCATGCATTCCGAGCAAAGAAATAAAAAACCCATGGATTTGGCAAACCATCAGCAGCATCATTCAAGCACTAGTAGATTCTAGTAGGTACTAGTAGATTCTAGTAAGTCAATAAAAAGAGGGTCGTACAAGTCATAGCCGTGGCGGCATCACTGTGGTGTACTGCCGCGCGCAGGACGGACGCGGCAATGCCTTCAGACACACGCATGGGTCGGGCGTCGACGTGGGCCATGAATTGCTGGGCAACGTCGTGCACAACGGAGACGTTCGAAACGTTTGCAACGGCGTTCGAAACGTCGTTTGAAACAGGAAACGACGGGTGGATAAACACGTTAAAGACACGACGCCACACGTCGATGGGAATGCGGTGGACAGTGGCGTATTCAAGCAGGGCGAGAATCTACCACGATGTCAATGGATGAAATAAATGAAAAAGAACGAATTAAATGAAATAAATGAAGATTCACAGACCTCGGGCACAAGGTGGTGGTGGATGAGGTGGCGGAGAATGTCGCGCAACGTCGTGGCGCTGGTCGTGTCGGACGCCGCGCTCAAACTCCGGTATAGGCATGGCGTGCACCGCGCGCTCTCTTTGGTTAGGCATCGCTGATGGATCACGACTTGGACGGCATGCACCATGTTGTCTTCGCCGACCGCCAGCGCCATTTGGCGAAGTACCTGCAGGTTCCTCGTAAGAACGATCGAAGATGGAGGGACGAAGAGCGCTACCTTGATGATGTCCATGTCGCGGTGCAGCGGGTTAACGTACGGAAAAGCCTTGGTCGAGTCCACCACCAGTTGAAGCACGTCCTTGGCGAGCTCGGGATGCCTTCGCAACAGGTAGTAGTGGTTCGACGGACCGTTTTGCTGCAGAAGCGCCGCCAAGCGAGAATGCTCAGCCTTGAAGGATGGTCCCAACGCGTCTTTCCACGCTGCTTGTGGCCACCACTGCAACGCGCGCTCCCAATTGAACGAAAGTTCCCAATTGCGCTGCGGGTTGCTCGCGAGGAGATCTTGCATGGACACGACGTTGTTCTTGGTGCTCGATGTTTGGCTGCGATGACATAATCCTGGCAGACCGTCGGTGGCTATGGTAGTAGAAGCGCGAGTACGAGTAGCAGGTCCAGCAGGCAACGCGCGCCGTTGGACGTGTCGCCGCCAACGCAAGAGCATGTTGCCAATTTGTTGGTTGTACTGTGACCGGATAATTTGGAATATCCGGATAAATCAGTTACCAATAAATAATGGAAGCATTTATTGTCGATTTGATACAAATTTGGGGAGGGTATGCAATCGAATCGCGCCGACCAAACCGATCCACAATCGACCTGATTGGTTGAATTTCATTGAGAAGGTTTTGATTGGTTAATAATTTTGAGCTCAACTGAAGTAGCCAATCAAATCGATTTAAATTCCAACGAGAAACCACAAAAACGAAATTACACTCGAAAGCACAATATTTGCCTCCATCACTAATCTATAAATCAGTATTTTGGGTGCTTGGGCGTCATGACAGCTCAACTCTGCATCGTAATCACAACGCCACTAGCACAATTTCCCCTTGTACTATGGTGCATTCTGCCACGATATACCCGTACAGTAAAGCAGTTGGGAATCGTATGTAAAACTCATGTATGCACTCGAACTAAGATATCCCACCAATCCAAAGCGTTTCTTTCAAACTTTCTCCAATCATATTGCGACTAAGAAATATTCCACGAATCAAATTCTGTTTAGAGAATTTTCAATCGACAGCGAATCAAATCGCGTGGTTTGGTTCATTGGATTCAGCCAATCATAGTGTCTCCCTCGTGAGTTGATTTTGGCAAGTTCCATTTTCAAATTTCCATCAAGCATGTCTGGTCGTGGCAAAGGAGGCAAAGGTTTGGGCAAGGGCGGCGCCAAGCGCCATCGCAAGGTTCTTCGCGACAACATCCAAGGGATCACCAAGCCCGCCATCCGCCGTCTAGCTCGTCGTGGCGGTGTCAAGCGTATCTCTGGCTTGATCTATGAAGAAACCCGCGGCGTGCTCAAGGTGTTCTTGGAAAACGTCATCCGCGATTCCGTCACGTACACTGAACATGCTCGCCGAAAGACCGTGACAGCCATGGACGTTGTGTATGCGTTGAAGCGTCAAGGCCGTACTTTGTACGGGTTTGGGGGTTAAGCCCATGCTTCTTGCACGGCTGTTTTGTATCATATATAATACTTCAACCAATATTACTAGTGTTTGGTTAATCGACGTTCGTCTTCGGCACCCGAAGTGCCGACTTGGCTCTTGAATACGTTTTTCGCATGAGCGGGGTCTTTTCGTTGGGAATGACATCGACTTCAGGACGACTCATGAGGTACCTCCACTTGCTCCAGATGCGGGAATGCCACACCAACAAGCCCACAAACGACACAAATGTAATGCTAATGGACGCGACACGATAATGGCTGTACTGGACCCACGACACAATCGCCAGTTCCAACAAGAACAGTGTCACGCCTACAACTAGCACATGAATCTCCGTGCAACGGACGACCTTATGGATCGTCTTCATACCTGTTCGGAACAGTAAGTAGCTGAGTTGCCAATCCACTTCGCACCTCGACACCCACCACCTCTCAAACGGATGGATGCGATCGATGTCTTCATCGTCGAGCCGCTTGACGACAAATTCCAAGTCGTGTGCGCAGTATCGTGTCACGGCCATCATAAGGAAAGTACACACTAGCAACGACAGCACCATGCAGCAGATCTACGTGATGTCGATGATGACTACTCCATGCAATCAATCGACCAAGGGTTCGTACCGTAAGGGCTGACGTGACACCATACACCCATAGCAACGTCAGGTCGATATCGTCTGGAAGGTTCACGTTGATGATCGACACGAGCGCAAACCCGCTCAGCTCGGCTGAGATTTCCGAGATCGCCGACAAGTGTTCGGCCCGCGTGTCTGCCTGCCGCTGCTCGTTGGAGAGTTTCTTCTACATGTCGAGCGTTAGTGCGCACACGGAAGCTGTGAAGCACACGAGAGAAGCACCGTACGTGGATGCGGTCGGTGCGGATGTCGTGGGCGCGCCATTCCTGTTCTCGCTGCAGGTCGTCGACGCGCCACTGTCGTTCCTGGAGTCGGTGGTCCAGGTCTTCCTTTCGCCACATTGTCTCATTGGCCTTCTCGTAGTTGTTGATGAAGTTGTCCAAGACAAACTCGGACAGGAGCGACGCCATGATGTGTTCTGCTCAAGGCGGCGGGCAATCGAACGATGAACACAATTCGCCGATTCATGGGGTGGGATAGGTAATAATAGAATAGCTCACTTTTAATCCAACTTGTCGTTTGTATAAAGTATAAATAACAATCCATTGTTTCTACAAGTGCTACAGTAACGTTAGGACGATGCAGTTATTCTGGTACGACACTAATAGATACAGGGAAAATGCGCTTCGTCATGGAGCGCAAGATGCGGACAGCTCCATGGAGCGAGATGTTGTCATGTCAAGGAAGTGTATGTATCCAATCCAGCATATGTGTCGCATGAAATCCAGGAGATAATTATGTCAATCTCGACATTCGTTTCTATATTTTTCACTGTCAAAATTTCGAGAAAATTTGAATATAGAATGATTAATATTTGCGTGATTTAAGGGATAAAATACGAGAAAACGTGGGGGTAAAATTCACTTTTAGTGCCGATTGTCTGGGATGTGTCAATGTTATCCGGATTGCGAGAAAGATTTCAGTTTTCGACCAACATGAACGTCGTCCAAGTGTGCATTGACGACGGCAGTGCTGGGATGTGTCAATGTTATCCGGATTGCGAGAAAGATTTCAGTTTTCGACCAACATGAACGTCGTCCAAGTGTGCATTGACGACGGCAGTGCCGCCACCGCGTCTCCGGCTTCTGTCAACACGAATGCGATAAAGCTTCGTCTCCAGAGTGAGATGAGCTTGCACAATGATGGTGAGTCCAGGTGGAAGACGTACTGGACGTCTCTGCAACAGTATGTGCAGTCCGAGATGCCGCACAGCACGTTCCAATCGACGATACGCACGTTGTTACACCCATCTCTCCGTAGGCTTCAATACCATCCGCATGAGCTAGTTGTTGACATGTCTGTAGTCGCGTTGCACAACGAGCTCATCCTCGCAATTCTTCACAATGCCCACTTGCCGCACACGACTCCACCTCCGTCCCCGACGTTGCATGCTCCGCCCACGATCGATGTCGCGCTGCTTACATCCCCCGAGCCCAATCGAGCCCATCTAAAGCGACCTCTCACAGATGAAGAAGGTACATCCCTTTTCATCGATGTAGGTGATCATCAACAGAGTTCTCGCGTAGCTGTCCACACATTGCTCCAACTGATTGCATCGGACGACACGGCCAGCGACAATGCCGTCGACGACGTCGATGATGCCGCCGCCTTCTTAAAGTCGTTTTCCAAACCTCCCCTTCACACGCCGTCCAAGCAATCCAAACCGGCGACCGCTACGCCATGGCCTTACTCGTCTGGCATGCCGCTCCTTCGACGTAACGCTCCATCACATCATGCAGTCCCCTTGAGATTCCGTTTTGTAGCCAAGCTCGATCCAAGCATGTGGTCGCGGCAACCAGATCATCTTCACCTCTTGTCAACCCATCCGTTGCACCACTTCTCCAACAACCAGTCCGAAAGGTCAGCGCCACAAACCATGAGCCACCACCCAACGACCGTCAACGTCGAAACATCTGCGGCTAAAGTAAGTAAAGCCCACCAATCGAACGGGTTTTGTTGACTTTTATTGCAGGACTATACGGGATGTCAATCGATGGTGGAAAACACTCGGTTAAGCTGGCAATTACGACTGAAAAAAGCCAAGTCGTCATCCAAGGCGACTGGGTGGTCATATTTATAACCGCGGGATATGTTGTGGGAATGCAGAATGGGGGGGGGGGTTGACGGAAGGCAGATGTCGGAGGTCGTGACTGTTTAAATTTATAATTATGAGTGGTGGTTTACTGTAACTTACGTGTTGGGTCGTACTAAAATTCTGTCTGCGCACTGGCTAATTAAAATGGTTCAAAGGCAAATATTGTGCTTTCGCTATTGTGCTTTCAACCAAAGTTTGGTATTTTCGGTAGATTCGGCGAACGACGTCAAATCTACCTGAAATCGTCGAGTCGTTGTTTTACTTGAACTAAATATACTCACGGTGAACCTTGTCAGATACGTCGAAGAAAAATAGGTTGGACTCTTAAAGTTAAGATCAATATCAGGTGAGTACTGTATATTTAGAAACACCAGACACACCTGCAATTTGATTGGTCAAAAGATTTCTGTTCGAACATTTCATTGGCTACTTCGGTCCGTCGATTCGATTGGCAGCCCCAGTCTATTTTGAAATCGAATTACAATACTACGTAGTATAAACTTCCAAAATTCGCGTGGTTTGACTGATCAATACTACAGTAGTATTGTCAAGTCGATTCGAATTGACGTGGGGTGCTCAATCGACCCAATCAACAGAAAATCGATCGCCCAATCAAAACCCAGAACAACAGTAAGTAGCCAATCAAATCCACTATTCGACCAATGCAACATCGAATTAGGGTGTGACTGAAATTAGTGTGGCATTGGACGATCTTTATATACAAAAGTCAGTATTGTGAATTCCGGTGAAATTTGCTGTTTTGATAAATCGACCTTACGATTTAATTCGCCAAAACTAGATTAATTCAGCCAATCAAATAGTATTTCCCTGAGTCTGGGAAATCAACAGCAGGAACTGAAAGTCCAGGCTACGAGGCCAACACAATTTACCGCTGCCTATTCGTCTGTCTGTCTCGTAGTCTCGGGTTCTTATGCAAACATGTACTACGTCTCATGTTTTCATGAAACACGTTACTCAAGTCTACCGGTATATAAGCTTACAGTTAAGCAAGTCCGAGCATCACATACACGTACACATACTGTAGTGGCGATAAGCAGACGGGTAAAAAACAATCGAGTACGGTTGCACTCGGGGTACATGCGCGCACGTGATTGCTCTCGATGGAAGTGCGGTGTGCCATAGTTTCCTTGAACATACCGGTATCGGTGATGGCGGTGTCAGCGTTCGCTTCGACTGGCAAGTTTCGAATTGCGCGCAACGGAACCTATATATATATTATACTACTAAAGAGGTTTTGATCGGTTCTGAAACCGCCCATTCAACACCAATCGAACATGGAAATTTCGAGTATACAAAGAATCGATCGATAGATTTGGCGAATCAGCACAAAAGTCCAAAATTGGGGTAAAAGAACAATGTTGAATCACGCTGGAGTTTTGATTGACTAACTGTAAATATATTTGCACTCGAAATTGGATTAGCCAATAGCGTCGATTGTGCGGCGAGATTCGATTCGATCTATTTCCCTTGTTCACGTTGAAGTGGTTTGGACATTACAGTTGTCCAAGGAAGGTTTATTTTAATGGAGCTGAGAGTTCGATCGCCCTGTCAATCAAGTGCAATTTCAGTTTCACGAGAATAAAAAACTCAACTTGCACTGACGCCCCATCAATACCTTACCTGTCTAGTCCCAGTACATCTAGCTACGACAGCTCATTGGAATTCACGTGGCAATTGGGCCACACTGTAGTGCAGTTCCCAGGCATCATTCCGAGTTTTGACGTGGCACTGGCATGACAACCTCGATCGAATCGGCTGGTCAAGTGGCTACCGCGATTCGCTCTGCGCTAGCCCACGTTGATGTCGAAACGAAGAGTTTGGAAGCGAAGATGGCTGAGTGGGCCGAGCTCGAAGCCCGGGTGCAGGCGAATATCAACAACCATCCGAATATTGTCTCGTTGAACGTGGGCGGGACGACGTTCGAAACGTCCAAACAAACCCTCTTGCGTGGACAAGACACGTACTTTCACGCGTTGCTCGGGTCTGGGCAGTGGACACCCGACGGCGACGCGGCGTACTTCTTGGACCTGGACCCGCATCTGTTTCGCCGTGTGCTGACGTTTCTCCGCACTGGAAAGGAAGTGTCGATGGAGGGGTTGACCAACGACGAGCGGGACGAGCTGGCGTCCATGTTGGAGTATCTCAAGCTGGAGAAGCGTCCGCAGCCTTTGCCCGTTCCGATCGTGAAGCCTGTAGAATGGGACTGTCAAACGCACTCCCCGGGCATGGAGTTGACGAATCAAGGGAAATCGATTCAAGGATGTGCGAGTGTGTCAAAGTGGCAGTGTGCCGCCGCCACCAACCCGCTCACGGGCACGTTCAGAGTCCGCGTGGACAGTACCCGTGGCGAGTTTCGCATCGCCCTGTCCCCCCCCGGAATCGACGTCTCGTGCACGACTTCAACGATCAAGTGCTACATGTACGCGTCCAACGGGGTCGTGTTCAATAGGAACAACCAAGTCGCGATTGTGTCTGCGTTGAAGGCGGGCGACGTGGTGACGATGCAGCGCGGTCCATCGCGGGTGAACTTTTCCCTGAACGATGGAAATATAATAGCGGTGATGTTTGTGGACTCCCCGTCGGGGATGTTGTTTCCCGTGGTGTTCATGCGTGGACAATCGAAATTTACGATTCTGGACTAAGGAATACTACCATGAAAGATGTCGTACGTGCGTTGTTTCGGAAATTATTGGGTTAAAGTAGAGCCGCCTCAAGAGTGCCTGTGTCTCTAGCTTTTGCCTCGAACTTTCCACAGCTCGGTTTTAAATCTCGCCCGTAACGAGGGGAACACGTTAGTGTAGGTAGATGGCACTGATCCTAAGCCATATATATATATACAAGTATCACCAACACGTGCAATTCATACAAAGCTAATCCCAGCGTGCACAGGCTCAGGTTACTTTTTCAGGTCAAAAACAAACTCAGCCCCCGGTAGTTATGGCTCGCCCCCTTCATCTTTTCGCCAGCATGGATCGCATCTGGAAGCGGCAGTGGTACAGCCTTCACCGGCGATGGGCACTTTGCGAGAGTGCCACGAAGACGAATGGAACGCGTTTGCTGATTTGTACGGACAGGTCGTTCATCAATCGTTTGGAATGGGTTGCAGATAGATATCCACATCATCGAGTTTTCGACCCTGGCACACGGGAGTTCTACTTGTCAGTTTGTACAAGGCACTTCATTGACCGAGTCGAATGTCCGTCCCTGACTCGCAGGTTACGTTGCCCGGGCAAACTCGCAGGGGCCACAAGCACGTGCAGAAAACAGTTGTGGACCTTTCCCCAACACACCAGGCTACGTGCTTCCTCCAAGTGTTCCGATATTTCAACACTTTCATACAATCAAACTTGAGATTGGGGTGACCCCGCCAAGGGGGATGATGGCTCAAGGACAACTCGACCACAAGGTTCTGGTGACATGGGCAGCGAGCGATGCCAGGAGTCGAGTACTAGTACGTGCTGTACGTCAAGATGGCTGACAACTTCTCGAATGCCGGATACATGTTGTACAAGAAATGTGCGAGTGGCTCCACTTGCGCCGGTGGCTCTACTTCCGATGGTCGCACCTTGTATGGTGCAAGTCACCTAAAGACTACAAATAAATACCTTGACTTTCGACTTTCGACACCTATTCCAACTATTTAGGAAAATATACCGTAATAACGATTGAACTGGACAAGCTCAGATTTCGATGGTGAAAAATTGATCGAGTGATAGAATTTAAACCCAACTGGCCTTTTTGTACGGAGATATATGGAACCAGGTACATTTTGGCCGGAAAGGAGTATCAAGTATATCTTGGTCTTTGTATACAGTACTTATCCGTACGAACGTTTTCATTGTATCCGGATTATTCACAATGTTTAACGTAATTACCAGGTAAAACACGTAACTAATAATGATTTAACGTCTACATTTCGGGGGTTTAACTGAAATAACCGAGGCGTTTAATAGTAAAACGTCTCCTCCTGAGGATGGCCGATCTGTAGTCTTTAGATGACTTGCACCATACCAGGATATCCGTTGCATTACCGTTATGACCCATTGATTGGATGGAACTATCTTCGGAGGTACCGCCGAAATGACCCATTGATTGGATGGAACTATATTCGCAGGTAACCCCGAAAAATATCGGTGGTCTGGTGATATATACTTCAAGTATAGTGAAAAAAGGCTGATATTAACCTCAAAAAGGTGTGGTAGGTGGGACAACGCGTTGGACCACATGGTGAAGTACTAACGTTAACTGTTAGCTACAGCACTATAATACGCAAAACTTCATTTTGCTGGTATCGTTATGGCATTTTCGCTGCATCTACTGTCGAAGGAGTCAAGTTGTGAGAGTGGTTAGGGTGACTTTTCAAATCCACACCGACGACGACGTACACAACATCACCTGTTGGGCAATATCCGGACAATTGTGTAGATATACCACCAGTACGTGTCCTGTTGTATGGTTGGGTTTTTCGGCGAAATTAATCTCCTGTTGGGTAAAGTATTTTGGCGAAAACTGAAATTAAACGATAGTTGGTTGAATTATACTGGTGGTTTGGTGAAATATAAACGTGAGGTCTAACTAACAGCTACAATGTTCATATTAAGTGTTTATCGGTAGCATTTATGCAGCAAAAATTATTCCCAAAGGCCCCTTCACAGCTCGACCACAGTAAATGGACGTAACAGAAAAATATCGGTCGTCTGGTGAAATATACTTCAAGTATAGTGAAAAAAGGCTGAAATTAACCGCAAAACGGTGTAGTAGGTAGGACCAGACTTTGGACCACCTGGTGAAGTACTAACTGTTAGCTACAGACAGCACTATAATACGCAAAACTTCATTTTGCTGTATCGTTATGGCATTTTCGCTGCATCTTTATTAAGA